CCTAGGATCGGCCCTGGCCGTAATTAAGAAACTAAATGTATAAAAAAAATACTCTAGTGTTGAGTAAAAATAATTAATCTTTAATAGTTATTATTGTGAATGAACTTGCGAAATCACACGGGAAAACTTTAATTTCGTAGGTTTTATTTTTGTTTTTTTTGTAAAATTAAAAAATATAATAGATATTTTAAGAAATGAGAAGTTAGGGCAGGAAAAGCTTACACATAATTTGAACGAATAATCTAATAAGAAACGGGGGTTATCAAAAGGGGTTATTGAAGAAGATTGGTAGACTAGCGTTAAATTAGGATAAGAGGATATAAATAAATTAGAAATTATAAACCTGAATGGAATAAGGAGAGGCAACCTTGCGACCAACCAATAGCCGAGAGGACATAAAGAACAAAAATTATGAGTATCAGATAGAAAAAGGTCTAATAAATTTGATTGTACGGGTCATTTTTTATATTATCCCACCCCCCTTAACTTTTTTGTGTCACCGTGAATGAAAAAAATGTAAATAAGAAAGTTGTAGTGCTTGAAAAATAGTTCTCAGAAAACATAGTTTTGTTCATAGAAGGTGTTGCAAAAAGTTTGAAAAACAAAAAAAAATATTTTTCTAAATGGGACACCCTGTATATTATGACATTTCTGGATTCTGCGTAAAATTCTAGACATATTTCATGTATAATGTCATATACCTATCTTGAACTATTTCGGAAATAATGACAGTAGAAAATTGATTTTTTTGCAACTTTGATAGGCTGTAAAACCTAAACTGTCAATTATACAGCAAAACTGATTCTACAGCTTTTCATAAGCTAGCATTTGACACCAACTTTGAATTTAACCGGAGATTAAATTTAATTGGAATTTTCAATCATGGATTAAATTCAAAGTTGGTGTCAAATGAGTCAAATGATATTTTGTAAAAAAATAGAAAAAGCATGTATGATCGGTTTTGCTGTAAATTCAACCGTTTAGGTTTTACAGTCTGTCAAAGATGCAAAAAAGTCAATTTTCTACTGTCATTATTTCCAAAACAGTTGATGATAGGTATATGACATTATACATGAAATATGTCTGGAATTTTCCGCAGAATCCAGAAATGTCATAATATACAGGGTGTCCCATTTAAATATTATATTTATTTTGTTTTTCAAAATTTTTGCAACACCTTGTATGAACAAAACTATGTTTTCTGAGAACTATTTTTCAAGCACTACAACTTTCCTATCTACATTTTTTTTATACACGGTGGCACAAAAAAGTTAAGGGGGTGGGAAAATATAAAAAATTACCCTGTACAGGCACAGATAGAAGGAAGAGCCTAATGGATTATTACTAACTTAGTGCCAAGGGTTAGAAGTAATGAAAAGATTTACTGACTACAGATAGCACCAGGAAAATAAAAAGAGCCTGTTACCCCTGATGAAGCGACAGTCCGAGAGAAAGCTTCGTAAGAAGTGCGTGAAAAACAAGTGACAGTGAACATACTTCAACGAAATGGAGCAAGGAATGTCAATTTTTTTCAAATACCTAGCTCTGATACCAGACCTAGAGGAACGAGCCTGTCTGCTGAATATGGCAAGAGAGGTAGTGCGGCAAGTTCAATTAAATCTGGGGAACCCAGATTATCTGTCTCCCCATAATTATGGAACCCGGGCGATACTCCAGTTGTGGGCCGAGATGATTGAATTGGAGGAGCGAAATCTCCAAGGAATCCGCGCCAGCAGAATTTGCTGGTGTGAACTGTGCCGCGGAGAATCTCGCCACCGACCGGCTCCCCCGCAAGAAGTTCCCCATTTTTTCCAACCCCAGGGAATTGAATCCCCTGACAACTACGTTCAAAATCTTGAGTACTGCTACCCGAGGTTCACTGGCTATACTATGAGAGCCCGCCTCAGCCGGTATATGCAGAACTCCGCCCAATCGTTCATGCCGAACCGAGACCCTCAACCAGCCAGGTAATGGAAGAGACAAGGGCAGGGACGTTTTCACTGGCACCCCCTAACGAGGTACCCCAGAGTACCCCGCTGAAATGGTCCAGCAGCCCACTAGCCCCGACAGAACTAAAGTCCCCATGGAACCTGGGAGGTCCACCTTTTGTACCGCCTCCTGAACTGGCTCCCCTTAATAGACGTCGCATGCCACCAGCGACGCCCTTCCAAGCCCAGGACGAACCACAACGGTTGAGAATCCGACGTACCAGCCAGGATTCGGATTAAAAGATGTCCTCGTCAAGGTTGGTGCTATCCTACCCAGCCACAGCGTAATAAATAAAGTAGCACGCCTCACAAGTAAAGAAACCTAGATGTAATATCTTTTTTTTTTGATGTTGTATTAATATTTGTCAAGTACGCTCGCTCAGCACGCACAAAACCTAGTATTTTTTTTTCTCTAAGGTCGACCGGGTACACGAGAGGGTGAAACTTAATACTTTTAAATGGGCACGAGAACCGTGTTGTCCATAAAAATTTATCTTGTGCAATATAAATTTTTTCTTATGAAGGGAGGGATATGGCGACCCCAAAAATTTCGAGGTGCTAAAATCTCAGAAAATATATTGATTAATTGATCAAAGCATTTTTGTAGTCATTTTAATTAGAAAAGTACCAACGTCAGTTGCAAGATAATTTAATCTCAACTTATTAAGTCTCCTAGCAATCCAGCATCAAATTCCGTATAAAAATAGTATAAATAAAAAATGACGAAATTTCTAAGCTCAACTCAAATTACATAACAATTTTTTTTACCAACGCAAGCGATAAGCGACCGGATGTCAGAGTTCGATGTCCCCAATTAATAGACTCTTGCGACATTCCGATAACAAGAAAAAAAAAAGTCAATAAAAGATTATAAAATTAGGACGCATTTAACCGGAAATCACTATACTCATGTGATTTAATTGCGTCATAATTGATAAACTACAACACCGGTGTTTCCGCCGGATGTTGCATCATTTCCTAAGTAAAAACAATTCTTGGAAAACAACAATGTCGTTTATCACTCAATAAACGAGGTCAAATAAGATGATTGGTTCGAGAAATGCTAAATGACCGCCCACGTAACAGAATTTTGGTGGGAATTGAGTACTATTTAAACAGGTTACAATCAGAAAAGAGATAAAATCCAGCAGTTGATTTGATAGTAAGATTTTAAGAATCAAGAGAATTCGCAGTGAGTCTCCACCAAATTTATTTAGGTATTTATTTATTATTTATTTTTATAACAAAGTTTGCAATTGACTATTGTCCAGTAAGAGTCATAAAGTAGTATCAAGTTTTCTTTTGTTTGTGCGTGCTAAGTAACTAAAAGTAATTTTGATCGTTTGTGAATTTAAGGACAGGTTGTAAGTACCTACATGTAGAAATTTGAGACTTTAGTAATTATCTATTTCAAGAGAGTCTAAGGAACTTTACTGAAAATTTATTTGATATTCCGAGTGAAATGACATTTGAATTTATTTTGATAAAAAAGGGTTTAATTGTCAAAATAGAATGAACTTGACTATTGCTAACAATTTGAAGTGTAATTACTAGAAGAATTTTGAACTTGTTTTATTTGATTTTTGAGTGAATTTGACTTTTGAATTTAATTTAATAAAAATGTTTAATCAGTAAAATAGAATGAACTTAACTCTCGACAACAATTTGAAGTGAATTTATTATAAGAAAATTGGAACTTAATTTTAAGTGCACTTTCTAAGGAACTTTACTGAAGGCTTTATTGTCAATTTTTGAATCAAATGACATTTTTATATTGTTTAAAAATATTTATCTATAAGCGTTTGGTTATGACGTTTTTACTAGGCTATGAATTCATAACACAACTATTTTTGGCTATTTGACAAATGTCAAAGGTAAACCTGTGAAGGTAAAATGAAGGTATACAACGACTAATAAACGAAAATAATTGAAAAAAAATTCTTATTTTTCGCTTTGTAGATAAAAAGTTGTACATCACACGTGCGTTTAAAGATGACTACAAAACTCGTGTGATTAGAACGACTCGGTCTACGACCTCGTCGTTCTAATCTTTCACACTCGTTAATGTAATCATGTTCATAAACGCACTTGTAATGTAAATAACTATTAATTAGGAAAATATAATGAGCATGACTAGTGCCAATTTATTTGAAGTGGAATTTTCCAAAAGAGTTTTAATTCAAAAATAGAATTTTGAATTCAAATATTGGATTGCTACTACATCGTTTTTGAAGAAATTGAGTTAATGAATTGATGAGCTTGAACTATTAAATAAAGAGCAATTCTTTATGCAGTCTAATTTTAGTTTGTAAGTTGGGAGTGTAGTATAATGGCAACTGGAAAGTCAGGGATTTAATTAAGAGTTTTAATATGAAAGGATTTAGTATTAAGGAGGTGTTAGTGTTAGTAAAGGAATTTGTTTAATGTGTAACCAATAAATGAGGAACGAGTTATAAAATTTAATAGCGTATAATTAACTAAGCTTTGATTATAAGAGGGTGTATAACTGGATTGTTAGAAAATATGAACATTAAAGTAAGAATTTGTTAATATAATTTTTTTTTTTATTTGTCGTATGCCTAGGTTATGCTGAATTCTTAGGCTGAATTCTCCTAATTGATAGTGCTGATTTAGTTAATAAAATATGTATGAAAACTATTATACAGTTGTTTCTCTCATTTGCAAATAGACCCCCTTCGCCACTTAATTTTGTAGCAACCCCAGGAAATAATTAACATTACCATCTAACTAATTAATAGAGTACTTGGGTGGATTACTACAGTATATTCAGAAGAACATTCAAGAAAAATGAAACCATTAGACAACACAAGATATACCGAAACCACATAAAGTCTATTTTTCCAGAAATGGAATAATTATGCTTCGATTGTTCCAAATGCCCTTACTCCTAAATGTATATCCGTAAAAATATATTGCCATTTGGTTGTATTGCTCTTGAGTCTGACAGTGGCGAATCCACTTACTAAACAAATTTAATTAAAAATTGCTTACCAGCACAAAAAGTAACATCTGACGTTAACTGAAAATAGGATAAATTGGAAAACAAGCAGCTCTCTTGTGCTACTATAGGCATATCTACAGATTTGGCAACTGATATACTGTATTTTCCAGTTTTTTGGGCAACTGAAACCATGAAAACGTGTTAAATAAAATCATAAACATATATAAAAAAAAAATCTACCTTCATCTGCACCCCACCCAGCTACAGTTCCTTTCTTGTTCACCATATTCTGTATGTTATCGTCACCTTCCCAAAGACATATTGGTGCAATTGTTGAAGAGAATTCCACGGGCTTATCCAGAGTAATCACCTTTAGATTAGAAACACAGCTACAATACAAATACAAAAATCTAGCTACCTACACTTACAGATAAGTCTCCATGGCCAGAATTAGCATTAAAATCCGGATTTGTACGGACAAAGGAGGCACCTCTTGTTACTGCGCCGCTGGTAGCCCAATGCTTTAAATTAGTTCGTCCGAAAACGAATAGAATATCATCGGTTTGGACTACTTGGATTTTGAAAAAGTTCGTACATCTAGCAGCTAAAAAATCAATACTAACAAGATTGCTTTGACCCTAATGAATAAATACTAAAACTTAGTAAATGCTAGCCAAAGAAAAGATCTGTTATTAATAATACTGAGAATTATACACACCAGTCACAACATGTCTATTAGACACCAAATTTGCAGTACACTTATAATCATAACCATTCCCATTGGTAGTAAACATGGCTACCAACCAAGGGTACATTCCATCGCTCAACTCTTTGCCTCCAACTATAAGTGGGACAAAGACATTTTTCGAAACTCCACATTCGGTTTTTTGATTGTTTGGCACACTACTAGTAAATTCTTCATAATTTTTACTAGAGATTTCTGGAAACAGTTCGGTGGTGGTAACTTTTGGATAATTGGCGGTGGTTGTTGAAATCTCGTTTATTGGGTATCTGTAGCAATGCAATAATAAGTAGGTGTAATGTGTTTTGAACAAATATGAACGATAACAGGATGTAACGTGGATGTTCTGACACTTTCTAATTTAATCTAATCTAGTTAGTGAAACTTCCTTTGGAAATAATGGCCGGTATTATAAAATACTGAACCGATGGTTGAATTTCAACCATCGGTTGACTCCATGCAAATTGATAGGATTCAATCGAAGGTTGAAACTCTACCATCGGTTCAGTGTTTTATAATACCGGCCCTAAGCCATCCTGTTAATAATAATAAACGAACCTTACAAAACTAACCTTTCTTGATCGGGTACAACATCAGGTTCAAATAAGTCAAGTTCTGATTTAGGTGGTACATAGGGTACGATTGAAGGTCCTGTACTAGCAGCTCGGAAATAATAGTTATGGCCTGACCAAAGGCTTGTCACACCCGGAGAACCAGCAATCACTGAAACACAAATTACACTTAATTGTTTTGCTCGTTTTCCATAATAGGCACCTGTATTACGTTCTTCTGGAGGACCTGTGCAGTACGTCCGTTGGTTATATTCGATTCTGGTTATTTTAGGAATGGCGTTTTGGAAGGGGAAATGAATGTCGTAGCTTAAAATGTTTGTGCGGCGTTCCATCAGGTCTTGACCGGGAGTGTTCATTGTGATTTTCAGTTTCTGGAAAAAATAGTTTTGTTATAAAATTAACGTTGTGACAAGAATTGTAACTTGTATACTTGTAACTTTTTCACATTGAGTTGATGAGTATAGGGAAATAAGCAATAAGTCGTCTAAGATTCTAACGCACAAACATCATTGCTTGCAGAGGAAACATAATAGAGCACGAAATTACCTTCCCGGCCGGATTCTAGGAAATTCGTTGTTCACGGCGAGCACGTCTTTTCTGGGAATTTTACTTATTCGATTCGTTGTTTTTCTAGATAGATCCGGAGTGTGTTTCCCACTATAAATAGCCGTAGTAGTAGGTATTAGTTTAATAAAAGTTCTTAGTGTTTTTGAAGTGAGTAAGTGAACCCGGAATTCTTGACAGTAGGTATGCTTTTCTGAAGAGCGTTACTATGACAGAATTCGTTCAGTTTTCTGGAGTGCGCTGTGGTTCTAGACACATAGGAAAAGAGGTTTGTCTTTCAATACCCACTATTCATATCGTAGATTTTGTTAATCATTCCAATTTACAATTATAATATTTTTATTGTGAAGAAATTAGGTACATTGGCGCCCAGAAGCCATTGTTAATGAACCTGATCGCGAAGATTCGGGATTAAATTAACAAGCATTTACGTGATTCTAGATATTTGTCGATTGAATTTGCAGGCAATTCAAATACGAGAATTGTTGCTGTTGCTCTTTCCCTAATGGGCTCTTTCACTAATTTTTGAAATTGGCATATTTGGATAAAGCAACTAAAGACAGAATTTTCTGTATTTTTACTTTTGAAAAATTCATAGTCCTTCTTGAGAAAACAGAAAAAAAAGAATTACCTCCAAATAAAAACCCAGAATTTATTTCTATGACGTCGCAGCAAGCAATTTGACCGTGTTGCCACTAATTGTCGACATTGAAAATTTGTAATAGATTTAATTCTGAAATGTTCGCAAAATATCATGAAAAGTAGTTAAATTAATCACTTATGGATTCAAGATTTTATAACTTTTTTATTGAAATTATGTTTAAACACAATTTAATACAATTTTTTATGTTTAGTTTTATTTTATTTTTTTACGTTGCACTACATCTAGTCACCACCGACAACAGCGCATTCGAACCTTTACCTGCTTTTACTACAGGGTACACAGCCGAGGCGGTAAGCTCCTTTGTAACAACAAGCGAAATGAAAAATATTTATGTGACGTCAGCAAATCGGCGCGTTTTAATTTAATTTGAATTTAGCTAATTTGAAATGCCTGTAAAAAACTTATTTAACCTTGTAGAACTTTTTTTTTTGGTATATATGCCTAAAATAGCCCCTCCTTTGGGATTTTATACTCAAATTACGTATTCAAATTTTAGTGAAAGACCCCATTTTCGAAATTGGATAAAGCAACTAAAAATAGAGCTTCAGAATTGATCCGCGTTAAGAAAATCTTGTTAGACACATTTGATTTGGAAAGAATCAAGAAAGTAGGTGGTGTACGACTGCTACGATGGATAGTAAGTACTACGAGAACTACGAATGTTGGAAGTTGGAAGCATGGGATGATGAAGCTGATTACGAGTATGACTCCTGGTAGAAAATAAAGGATACAGGAGACAATTTACTGTTTTCTGAATTAAATTTACAAATTTTCGAAATTTTGGAATTTTGTATCTTGTTTCCAAATTTGGCAGGTTGACCCTCGTATAATAATGACATTATATGTCAAATTCCAGGCAGTTTTAAGTGTTTTTCACATAATTTCGTATTCGTCGCGGTAATAAAATTCTCTGGCCTATCTGACCAATCAAATTTGACACATTTTTCAATGTATTTGTCATTGATGCTACGCCAATAAAATCTGAAAAGCAATATATGTAATTTCATAAATTTATATCTAAGTCACTGGGGGCACGTTACCTTAGCTGGGATTGGAAATAAACCAAAATTATTATTGCTCAATGAAGAAGCACATAAGTTTCATGCATTTCTCCGCAAATGAAAAATTTGGTAACAATTTTACTTATTCGCGTCATCTCGCGTGCCGTGCGGTAACGCCGGTAACTGTACTTGTCATCACAGATTCGCGTGCGGTAATGAAGTATGTAGTACTTTATACATTCAAAAAGCAAAAATAATGCAGAAGTTAGTAATTTTTTTTTATGGACAGAAAAATCTTTCACTTTTAAACAACAATTCGATTTACACTAGAAATTTAGATATGTTTGATAATAATTGTGTTTGTGGTAGGGTAGGTCCCAATACCAGTAACAGAGCCTAATAGTAAGATATGATATATTCAACTACAAACAACCAAATCAAAAACATACCTAATTTTAGAACCCTTCAGAAAAAAATTGAACAGAAACGCAAGACCGTAAGACTCTTGCATAGGGTAAAGTTGCCTAAGAGTACGCGCAATCTAAGAGTACGCATCAGTAATTTCTAACAACTGAGAGGTGTGAAAGTGCTCCTGTTTGTGTTTTAATATTTGGCTAGTAAAAGGTAAGGTATATTCCAAATTTCAACGAAATCGGTTAAGTGATACGTTATTTATGAGATATTTTGTGTTTTGGCTTGTATAACTATAACTTTGCATAAATTTCGAAACTGTGTTTCGGTTGGAAAATTGAGGTTATATTTATATTGCGCCTTACGAGAAGGTAGCTACGCTAGGAGTCTGTCTTGTCGTCATACTCTGCATTAGTCTATCTGCAGTGATTAAAAAGAGATAATAAATATTTTGATAAGAGTTCAAAAATCCAAGAGTACGCACCTTCGATCGCTCCAAGAGTACGAGTGCGTACTCTTAGAAATCATTGTATTTTCTTTTCTATAGATGGGTCCTTACAAGCGAAAAAGCAATCGGGAGCTAAAATTTACGGAGCAAATAATGCAAGAAATCAAAGAAAAAATAAATGGTGGCCAGTCTAAACGATCTGTAGCCTTGGAGTATGGTATCAGTGAGGCAACGTTGAGGAAAAGATTAAAATTGGGAACTATTCCAACTTCCTTAGGCCGATTTAAGCCAGTTTTCAACTCAGCGCAAGAACTTCAATTACTTAATAAAATTAAAAAGCTTGATGAAGTTTTTTATGGATTGACCGTTAAGGAATTACGATCACTCGCGTACCAATTTGCTGAGCAAATTCAAGCTGACCATCCATTTAATAAAACAACCAGACTTGTTGGGCAAAAATGGATTTCAACATTTTGTCAAAAACATAATTTATCTGTCAGGCAACCAGAAAAAGTAAGCCAGGCTCGTGCAATGGGCTTTAATAAAGTTCAGGTATCCAGGTTCTTTAAAAATCTTCAAGCGCTTATTGAATTAGATTCATTTACTGGAAAAACAATTTTCAATATGGATGAAACTGGAATGCTGACAGTTCCAAATAAAATTCCAAAAGTTTTAAGCGTCAAAGGCAAAAGAGGTGTTGGGAAAGTTGTATCTGGTGAGAGAGGTCAACTTATCACTGCAGTCTGTTGTTCAAATGCTAGAGGCTTTTATGTGCCACCTGCGTTAATTTATCCTAGAAAGAGAGAGAAACAAGAATTGCTTTATGGAGCACCGGAAGATACTATCCTAATGTTGTCTGATAGCGGCTTCATAAATTCGGAGCTGTTTATTAAGTGGTTGAAACACTTTCACCGCCATGTTAGATCGACTAGCGGAAATTCCGGTGCTTCTTATTTTGGACAACCACTCCTCCCACATAAGCTTAGAAGCTATATCATTTTGCCGAACAAATGGAATTCACCTACTTAGCTTACCACCTCATAGTAGTCACAGACTACAACCACTTGACGTTGGGTTTTTCGGTCCTTTAAAAACAGCATATAGCCAAGAAGGAGATAGGTGGATGACAATGAATCCGGGCAAAGTTATTACTATATACCAGGTAGCTGCACTGTTTGGAAAAGCATATTCCAGAATCGCCTCAATTGAGAAGGCTGAAAGATGTTTTTCAGCGACGGGAATATGGCCTTACAATCCTTTAGTTTTTAACGACATAGATTTTGCTCCTGCCAGTGTAACCGACAATTTTTTAGCAAACGATCGTATTGAAATAGTGATGGATGCGGATGTACAGCAAGATCTTATGAATAATCTACCATTAGCCCCGACTGTGATAGCGTCCTCAGACCAGAACGGCGAATCAATAACGATAGAAATTACAGGGGAAATTACAGGTAAATTACTAAATCAGTAACACTGATTTCTATCTTTCTAAAACGATATTCTTTCAGGATTGGAGGAAAACGCGACTAATATAACTCCAACCAATGAATCTCCACAGCCTGGACCAAGTGGCCTTCATAATACTTCGAAGCCAGTCGCCAAAATAAATATTTCAACACCTCCAAATGAATCTCCCCAAGCTGGGCCAAGTGGTCTATGTGTCTTCTCCCGTGAAGAGGATGATATACAAGATCAATATTATATTCCTCCAGAATTGGAAGCACCTCAAAAACAACTGAAAGATGTTACTAATACCACTGATTTGAGTAAAACTGAAGGTAAGCATCAAACATATGCAAAAGATGATATAAATTTCTTTTATTTTTCAGAATGCATACTGGAAAAATTATATCCACAGCCAAAGGCAATTAGATCCAACAAAAAAAGAAAAGTTGCAAGCAAAAAAATCAGAGATTTTAACAAGCACTCCGTACAAGGAATTTCTTGATCAGTCAAATAGCTTGAGTACGAAGAAAAAACAAAATGTGAAAAAGAACTTAACAAAAAAGAACGTGAAAACCGTACCAAAAAAACTCCAAAAAACTGTGATAAATCTGAAGACTGAGTCAACAAAAATTTCTACTGAAAACAAAAAAAACAAAGGCCCAAAGAAAAAAAGCATTGGTCATACTTCCGCAAGGAAAATATGTGGCACATGCCCTGTTTGCGACGAAGCTTTTTATGAACCCCCAGAAACAGACTTAATACAATGTGGAACCTGCAAAAACTGGTTTCACGAAATTTGCACATCGTATGAGGGATATACAGAGTACATTTGCG